ACAATAAAAATGCTGAAAACCATGAATTTCACACCTGAGCTTCAACTCTCGCGTCCCAGTACCGAACGACTCGGCCTGGGGGTTAATATCTGTTAATAACATCTGTCTTTACTTGTCATCCCAACCCTGTAGAGTTTTTATGAAGGGTAAATTAGTCGTAGGAGCTAAAAGTGCTTTGTGTTTTGTTTTTTTGTGTTGTTTTTTTTACTGGAATTGTCTATAAAATGCTGTAGAGTTTAGCATTTTAACCTGAGGGTCTGAAAAATTGGTTTTGTACAAAGACATGACATTGTTATGTCTACATGCTTTACGAGAACCAGGTGAGAGTGAGGCATTCATAGTTTTATCTTAATGATACTCGTGTTTTTTTTGTGTCGGGGGTCTTTTAGTGCAGCTTGAGACAGAGGGACATCAAGCTGTCTTCAGCATCAAGATCCGACACGGAACAACACCTAAACTGTACAACACTGGATCCAAAGGAGGTACAGCACCGGCATGTTGACGGTGTTTATAACTAAAGTCAGACGTCCTTTCTGAGTCAAACAGCACTTTCTAAAGTCAGTTTTCCTCCATCAACTCTCTGCAGAGTACAACATCAGCGCCCTCGTGACAATAGCCACAAAAACCTTCCTGCGTTACGATAAGCTTAGAGATCTTATCGACAGCATCAGAAGATACTACCCTACTGTTACCATAGTTATAGCTGATGACAGTGAAAATCCCCAAACCATCTCTGGGCCTTACATCGAACATTACATCATGCCCTTTGGAAAGGTAAGGACACACTGAAGTCTTCTCCCTGCTGTCACTGGTGATGCGATCTCAATCTAAACCTCAGCGTTGCGTCTCTTAGGGTTGGTTTGCCGGCCGAAACCTAGCCGTGTCCCAGGTGACCACGAAGTACGTACTGTGGGTGGATGATGACTTCATCTTCACAGCCAACACCAAGCTGGAGAAGCTTGTAGATGTTTTAGAAAGGACCACTCTGGATCTAGTGAGTAGCAGAAGAATAATTTTTTTCTTTTTCTCAGTTAATATTAAAGTTTTGGGGCTCTTGTAGAGACAGTGTATCTATGTGTGTGAACTAGGTGGGTGGTGCAGTGCGGGAGGCCACGGGGTACACCGCCACCTACCGTCAAACCATCTCCATTGAGCCAGGAGAGGAAGATGGTGACTGTTTACACATGAGGAGAGGATTTCATCACGTCATTGAAGGCTTCCCCAACTGCGTTGTGACTGATGGGGTCATCAACTTCTTTTTAGCTCGCACAGACAAAGTCCAGCAGGTCGGCTTTGACCCACGCCTCACCAGGGTCGCTCATCTGGGTGAGTACAGGGCTTCCTTTCATATCAAAGGAGCAAATTTAGCATCATGCCATCTGTTATTTATTCAGTGTTTTGACTGCCGGATGCAAAAATATGCCAAAATTGAAAAAAAAAAAATGTTATCATTATTATTATTTACGCATTTATACACAAGTCTTGAGCCACCATTCTTTTTTTTGTAATTGTCTTGGGAAATATTTCTTCAGGCATTCAGAAGCTCTTTGAAAGTTTTTCTTTCTTTGAGTGTCCAGAACCCGGGCCTCAACATTGTTGAAGCAGTGTGGGATCAGAAAACAGAACAAAAGGCAGCAAACACTCAGCTTTGAATGTCCTTTGAGAAGCCTGAAGAACTATTCCTGAAGGCTGCTTCAAGAAATTATAGGAAAGCTAAAGCTCAGGCTGTGTTTAAGGAGAAAGGTGGTAAAACCAAATATTTACTTTCAAGCTTGTTAGAATTGTACAAACACTGTTTTTGATCACCTATTTCCCATTTGTTCTAGAAAAATATATAGAAATGAGGTGTAACTCAAGACTTTTGCACTTTATCGTATATTCATATTCATTGTTTTTCTATCCTCCTGCAGCACTGAGTCAATTTGTGTGCCATATCAAGTTAATTTAATGTTTCCTTAATCATTTAAGAATAAAAGAGAGATGAATATCTCAGATTAAGGTATTGATAGCAACAATATCTTAGCAATTTAAGAAAAAAGATTCATATCTTATTTTACTTACTGAGACGATAACGTGTGCAAGATAATTTTTGCTAGCAAATTATGCTGTGACATTTTCTTATCAGCACACACCACCATGGAGGAGTCGCAGCTCGGCTTTAGTTTACCTACATTAAACTGAATGAAATGTGATTTAAATGGAACATTTAGCTCACGCCACCTTCTCCTCACTTTCATACCTGCAATATTTCATCAATTAAAAGTGTTCCTGACCCACTGAGGGATGTTTACCCCTCTCCCTTTTTTTTCTAGAGTTTTTCATCGATGGCCTCGGCTCTCTCCATGTGGGCTCTTGCGATGATGTCATTGTCAATCACGCGACCAAAATCAAACTACCCTGGGTAAGCCAGTCAGAGAGCGACAAGACCTACGCCAAGTTCCGTTACCCATCAGCCTCCTCTGATGCCACGCACACCAAAAACGGCCTCCTGTACTTCAAGAATCGGTTTCAGTGCTTGACTCATAATTAGCTTCCCCTCTCCTCTTTTTCTCGAAGGTTCCTCCGCTCTCCCCGAGTTGCCAAAGAAGTTCTCCTCCCCCACGCCCTGTCAGATAAAATTTTGGTTTGCCTTCTCTTGAGAACCTTGAAATTATTTTTCCAGCTTCAGCCTTTAGAGCAGTTTTAGCATGTTTTATCTGTCAGTGCACAGCTCTGCAGTGAGCTAAAAAGTCCTCTAGCATCTAGAAGCCCAACAGAAAAATTTAGGCTTCCTTTTTGGTGTGAAGACAGGAGAAAATGAGCTGCAGTGCCCAGTAACATCTTGAGTCATAAAGGGATCTTGCTCATACCCTGCACAAAGACCAGGCTTTGGGAGAACCGAACAGGTAGCAGCCAGTGTAACTTCATTGTCATGCTGTTTTGGGTAGATGTGCATGCATTCTCCTTCGATTTGCACTAGCCGAATATAGAATTGAGCTTGGAACAAGGTCTTTCTGTCAGTGACAACAAACCCTATCAGTTAAGTGACAGAGCTGCAGACTCGGAGCTCCAGTGTGACCTTCTTGCCAATGCCACATGAAGAACGTGTTCCAAGTCTTTTCATTTGTCGGGTTCTGCTACTGACTGGCCGTGCCAAAGGTCTGGATGCTGCTAGCTCTTGGGTGCTTTAATCTGTGTGTGCATTATGGTTTTACTGCCCATTACCCAGAATCCTTTTGTGTCACCCATGGAGAGATAAGTAAGATCTGAGGAGGAGAACCTTTTGGTCTCAGTTCATCAGGTGTTACCTGGTTGCGGGAGCAGCTGTAATCGTCGTCTTCTGCTGTTTGTCTGTTTCCCCAACAAGCATCTGAGGAAAACGAGGCGTTTGAGTGCTCACCACCGGATCTTTACATGTGGCCAAAAGAAACATTGGTTGAACTAAAGTACTTGTAAAATACTCACATCATTATGAAAAGAGGATGGAGAAGGGGGGGGGGGGATGAAGCAAGAATACAGTTTTTATACTGAAACTCCTCTTTGGAGCACTCCTGCATGTCAGAGACTCAAGTGGTGATGCTGTTCTTTTATACCATGGTCTTTAGATGGCGCCCTTGTATCACTGTATTTGTTTCCTAAGCAAGTTTTTTAACTTTGTTTTGTTAGCAATAAGGTGCCAGAGATTTATCAACTGTTTTTTTTAATCCCCAAGAGAAATATCGACTTATTTGTAACTATTTTATTTATTAATTTATTAACAATTTGTTTGCCTTTTATTAGATAGAACAGTGAAGAGAGTCAAGTAAGCAGGGGGGTGTCGGGTCAGAAAGCAGCACATCGGAATCGAACCTGATCTGCTCTGAGCTACACCGGCATCTGTTTGTGACTTTTAATTCATTTCTATTTTTCATCAAAATGTGACGTTCGTTCTGTTGATGGAAGAAACTAACAGCAGTGTTCCTGCTGCTTGGTTTGTATGTAGTTGTGTACTGAAGAATTTGTCTCACATTTTAATTTGTAAGTGTTGACAGATGTAGAATTTTTTTTAACAGTGATGTTTATTGTGTGGACACAGAAATCATTTGCTGCCTGCTTCACCCACCCACCCCCACACCCAAAACAAAAAAATATGAGTTGTTTGAGCATTATGAGAGTTTTTACATTCATTTCAAATGTTATAAAAAATGTGTGTGGGGAAAAAAAAACGAAATCTTGTGTTCAATGTTGTGATGTTGGTTCAAAGGATGAAGACGCTGACTTACAATAGATTACAGTCTTTTGATTACAGATTACAGAACTTAATTTATGAGCACATCTTTTATGCTACTGAAGCAAATGAACATGATAGATGAGAGGCAAAAACTGTCAAATAATAGCAAGCATGGTTTATATTTGAGACTAAAAGCCTGCGTCTAAAACCAGGTTTTGAATTTAATGACTGAAGCTGTCTGAGAGTGTCGGAGCCTGGAAGCTGAAGGCTCTATCCCTGAGCGTCTGAAACTTGGAGAGAGGAATGTACAGCAACCACATGTCAACACAGGAGGAAGATTTCTCAGGTGGGGCTGGGGGTGTAGAGCTGAAGGAGATCAGAGAGGTACTGAGGGCCATGAACATGAAGGAACATGCAGGTAAGTCTTATTTTTAGCTTCATGTTGCTCGTGCCAGGTTGTGCCCTGTCTTTCTTTCAAAACAGCTTTAATTATTTGTGGAAAAGATTCAACAAGTTGTTAGAAATATTCCTCAGAGATTTTGGTCCACATCAGCGTCACACAGTTGCTGCAGATTTGTCTGCTGCACATCCATGATGAGAATCCACCACATCCCGAGTCTGGTCTATTAGATTGAGAGCTGGTGACTGTGGAGGCCATGTGAGTACAGGGAACTCATTGTCATGCTCAAGAAACCAGTCTGAGATAATTTGAGCTTTGTGACGTTGTGCAATATCCTGCTGGAGGCAGTCATCAAAATACCAGTTCGATGTGGTGATAAAGGGTTGAACATGGTCTGCAAGAGTACTCGGATAGGCTGTGGCATTTAAACAATTCTGTGTTGGTATTTAGGGACCCAATCTGTGCCAAGAAAATATCCTCTACACCCTCACACCATCAACAGCAGACTAAACTGTTTATACAAGGCAGCATGGATCTGTGCTTTACTGCTCACCACCAGATTTTGATAGCAAAAGTTCAATTTAACCCTCGGTTTCCTGTTCTTAGTTGACAGGAGTGATCCTCTGTGTGGTATTCTGCTGCCGTAGCCCAGCTGCTTCAAGGTTCTGCTTCTTCACACCTTGGTTGTAACAAGTGGTTATTTAAGTTACCGTTGCCTTCCTATCAGCTCAACGCAGTCTGGTCAGTTTCACCCAGAGAAACTGCATAATGGATGTTCCCTTAAAATTCCGCCAAGCACAAAAATAAAAAACAAAAGCCTTCGTATTAATTACAAGGTTTCGTCTTCATTTTCAGTAGCAATATTAAGATGTTAAACAAGCAGACAAACATGTAAAAGATGAGGCAGTGTGAGTCTATGCAATGCAAATGAACAACGAGACCACTAGGATGTTGTGTGTCACATAGTCAGATGACTGAAGGACAAATGGCCTCTGTGTGATGCAGAAATTTCAGGCAGTCTTTTGCTTGGAGTACTGAAATTTTTTATGTTCAGAAGTGTAGAGCAGGTTCCAGCAGCACGAGTTTAATCCTTTTCATGATTTTGCTTACTGTATAAAAATTTGGTTTATATGTATGTGTATAGACCCAGCTGCAATTTTTAATATAAAAATATAATAATTAATTAGTTAGACCATATAATTAATCATAATATAAAATATTTGACATGTAAACTGGTAAATTAAAGAGCTCACATTGTGACTCACTCTTTAATTCATAATGATGAGCATTTCCCTCCACTAGAGGGTGCTAAGCACCATCGGGTTCCCTGCTTTGTAGACCAGAGATCAGATTGTGTGCAGCTTCGATGTTTCGTTTGGATTTTCTTTTTAAATAATCTTATAAAAACAAGACAAAACAACCTGATTATTACACATTTGGGAACATAAATCTTCTGGATAGCGACCAAAGGCATCCATTAAGTTATACACTGCACATTATAATGAGGCTAGGAAGGGGTCCTCTGGCCTGTATTAGGAAAACTAATTCATGGAAAAGACAATAAATGACAGGAAATAGCTGCTGACTTACACTCTGACTGATCGATTGCAGACTGTTGGTTTAAGATGGAAATAATTCATATTTCCCAGCAACTATGCTTTAATGGGTCATTTATATTTAAAATAGACGGGAAACATGGAAGGATAAATGAACTGACCTATCAGCCTTGAGACCTCATAGGCACAAGGGCCAAAGCAAATATCGAGAACAAGTTACTCAATGGGTCCAAATAACAAGAGACACACAACAGTCAGGAGACGCTAAAAGAGACACATGAAGTGAAAAACTAAAAATGATGATAACAAATATCTGAACAACTTCTTTAATTCCACGAGTGTATCAGGACAGCACGAGATTCACCGATATGATCCAACACAAAATTATTTACATTCAAGACGACAATGACGAATGAGCACCTCGGTTTTATCTGTGTTCCCTTTTTCCTCTCTCTGCTTGGTTATGACAAGCTTTGTGTAAGTCCACAAATATGTTTAGTTCAGATAAGACTGACAATGGCAGGGTTAAAACAGGCCACCAGACAGAAAGCACAGCTATTCGCTAATCTCCAGGGACTGCAGGGATACACATAACTCGTGTGGATTGAGATCCTGGACTATAACTGGGATTTACAGTCACTTGGCAATTTCATGGATACAGTTATTTGAGGAGGGATTTAAGATCTCAGTTCTCTGTGGGAATAAAGTGGAATTGGTCTCCTGTGAAAATATTACGCATTATGCAAAGATCCATCAAAGAATTTTCAAAGGAAACAGGAAGAAATGAATACATAAACACCGTGAAGCACAGTCTCTGTGGTGACACAGATATATACACTTCATGTACACACACACACATATATATATATTAGGGGTGCAACGATACACAAAATTCACGGTTCGGTTCGGTTCGATACTTTGG